TTCCTCCCTCCCTCCCTCCCTCCCTCCCTCCCTCCCTCCCTCCCTCCTTTCTTTCTTTCTTTCTTTCTTTCTTTCTTTCTTTCTTTCTTTCTTTCTTTCTTTCTTTCTTTCGCTTCTCTCCTTGACAATGCCTTCTCTGCTTCCTGCAGGATCTCTCCCCGATTACGTCCCACCGGAGATCTTCTCTTTTCAGAGCTCCTCGGGGTTTGTGCTCTATGGGATGATGTACAAGCCCCATAATTTACAACCTGGGAAGAAATACCCCACGGTGCTTTTCATCTATGGGGGGCCACAAGTGAGTCTCCGTCTTTGAATTTCAGCCACATTATTTGGGGAGGGGGAGAATCCACGAAAGTCTGCGTTGAGTAGATCCGATTGCCTGGTGCCCAGAAGGGGCTCAGTTTGGGACTTGCAGGAATGGCCTGTATTTGCGAAAATAGTTTATGCCCCATAAAGGATTTGGTGTTTTAGAACTGAGAACTATACTTAAAAGGGTAAATTGAAACCACTAGAGTACAGGCAGTCCTTCACTTACGACCATAATGGAGGCCAAAATTTCCGTGGCTAAGCAGAACAGTTGTTCACTGAGTTTTGCTCCGTTTTATGACCTTCCTTGCCACCGTTGTTAAGTGAGCTACCGCCGTTGTTCAGTTAATAACACGGTTGTTAAGGACAAGCTTCCCTGTTGACTTTGCTTGTCAAGGTCACTGAAACGGTCGTTAAGTACATGCCAGTTGCCAAGCCTCCAAATTTTAATCATGTGACTATGGGGATGCTGCCACGGTTGTTAACTGTGAAAAATGGCCATATTTTTGAATGCCACGGCAACTTTGAATGGTCACTAAGTGAAAAGTTGTACCTTTTACAGGACTACCTGTAATAACAATCAAAATCACGGTAAGATGATGGAGGCCACCATCTTATTTACTTAAGTTCTCTGGAACTAAATTTACAGATGCGACTTTGGACCCAGATGAAAGATAACAAAATCTATTCTTGATGTTAAGTCAGGCAGGTACAGCTGTGTTTGGTTTATTTTTCACATAAATGAAGGAATAGGAATAGGAATAAGAATAGGAATAGAATACAGTGGAATGGAATGGAATGGAACGGAACAGAATAGAATAGAATAGAACACGGAATGGAATAGAAAAAGAAGGAAGGAGAATAGAATAGAATAGAATAGAATAGAATAGAATAGAATAGAATAGAGAATAGCATAGAATAGAATCTATACTCATCTAGCTAGGAATCTAGCTCAAAACCAGAACAGAACAGAACAGAATAGAATAGAATAGAACAGAACAGAACAGAATAGAATAAACAGAGTCGGAAGGGACCTTTGAGGTGCTCTAGTCCTACCCCCTGATTAGGCAGGAAAACCTACACCACTTCAGAGAAATGGTTATCCAACATCTTTTAAAAAAACTTCCAGTGTTGGAGCATTCACCACTTCTGGAGGCAAGATGTCCCACTGGTTAATTGTTCTCACAGCTAGAAAATTCCTCCTTAGTTCCAGGTTGCTTCTCTCCTTGATGAGTTTCCATCTATTGTTTCTTGTCCTGCCTTCTGTTGCTTTGGGGAATAAGTTGATCCCCTCTTCTATCCATTTCAGGAAGAAAAAAACATTCTGTTTGGACATTAACTGTGGGTTTACTCAGCATGTAGTAATTATAACAACAACAACAATAACAACAACAACAACAGCAATAATAATAATCAGTAATTTCCAGGAATATTTGAATATTTCCTAAGTTCTTGTCTGGAATCTGAATTCCCCCAAAATACCAGTCCAAGATGAAGTGATTATTTATGTCTTTTATTGTTCCTTGATGAATAAGAACAGCATCAACAACAAGGACGATGATGCTTTGATGCCTCCTTCCAGGTGCAGCTTGTCAACAACCGCTTTAAAGGGGTCAAATATTTCCGACTGAACACGCTGGCTTCTCTGGGTTACGTGGTCGTGGTGTTGGACAACCGAGGTTCCTGCCATCGGGGCCTGGCCTTTGAAAGCGCCTTCAAATATAAGATGGTAAATTTATTTATTTTGTTTCTTTGCCAAGCATGTATGAGAAAACATATATGTATTGTATTGTCATGCCCCTGTCAGAATCTGATTCGGAGGGGAAGGCCGAGCAGCTGACAGGGATTGGGGGTGTGGCTCTGTTGGCTGTGGAAGAAACTGGGGAAGGGCAAAGTCAGGGTGGGCAGAGCAGGGAAGAGGTAGAACAAGGGAGAGGGAGTTCAGAGGAAGACCCAGGCCCACCCCCTCTTCATCCTAGGGCACGCAGGGAGGAATGGAGAAGGGAGCAAGGTGAGTTGCGTGGTTTACGGGGGAGGAAAGGGCCCTGATTCCCTTCATTAGGCAAAGCTGGGAGCACAATGTTTAAAAGGGGAGTTTGCGCACAGCAACTTGTGGGAAGCAAATCGTGAATTATCTGGTATCATCAAGGCTTATCTGGATTCCTGGTGTCTTCCCAACTGTGTGTGTTTTGCTGGCCGTTGAAGTCTGCAATTCCTTCTCCTGCCCTGTCAAGTTAATTACTGCAGCGTGGTTTGTGTGGATTGTTATTTACAGTTTGTATGTACTTTGTTCTCGGACTGAATTTCCTCCACTTAAAGACTGTTCTAGAGAGATTTTTCTCCAGCCGAAGGTAACCTGGACATTGGGGGCAAAGTTGGAGGTACTAAAAGAACTCTTCTTACTTAAGTGACGGTGTTGCCTTTGTGCCACGCCCTTTTGGGTCATCACAGGGTTGGACTAGAAGTCCTCCAATGTCTTTTCTAACCCTGTTATCCTTAGCAGACAACAATTGTTAGCAGACAATTTTGTGTACTAAGCTTAGGTCGGACCATAGGTGGTGTAATTCTAGGTGGTGTAATTTGTCCAGGTCCAAAACTTCAAGCCTGGTAGCCTTAGGTATTCTATTAGAATAGAATAGAATTCCTTTATTGGCCAAATGTGATTGGACACTCAAGGAATTTGTCTTGGTGCAAATGCTCTTGCAAGCAGAGGAGTGGAGTACTTTTCTCCCGAAATACCTCTGGACTTGCTCAATGGTATTAATGTCCATTATACAGTGTGGACTCCAGGCAGAGGAGATGTATTCGAAAATTGGTCTGGCAAAGGTTTTGTATGCCGAATTGGTAATTGTCTCATGAATGGAGGTAACAAATGCTGAAAGAGACCAATGGCCCTTGTATATTTTTTTTTTTTT